AAACTCTTATAAGTTTCATCAAATATGCTTTAATTTAGAAAAAGACTTCCTTACCTAATGCTCTTTCAACACCATTTTCATTCACATAATTAGAATTTAAGGATTGATTTAAAAAAATAAAACTCTATTTATTAAAATTAACATGCCGGTTAATTGGAGTATATATATATATTTTTATTTTTGCAATGTATGAAATCAAATCCTGCAATGTCGGCCTAAAAAAAAATCCTGCAATGTCGGCTTCAAAAAAAAAAAAAAAATCATGCAGTCCCAAGTGACAAAAAAGTACAACCAAAAAAGAGGATTTGCCTGATATAGTCAAAATAGGAACGTGGAGAAACAAAGCAAACTAGAACTGGAGTAGGATGGGACTGGGTGTGGATTAGGGTGTGCAAGCACGTCTCCTTTTTTTATTGGTCTCCTTCATTTATTTTTTTAATTTTTTAAATTAAAAAAGTTACACCCGACAAACTAATCAAAGATCCGAGTGGTGGCTGTACTCCGCTAGCATTTTTCGTTGGGAGTAATAGACATTAAAAAATGGACGGATAAATAATTCCAAACTGAGAGGCGTGACCGTTTAAGGAACGAGATCGAATTTCTATGCTCGTTTGTTTAGTAGTATTTGTAGACATTTTCTTGGGCAGTGCACAAGGCACTGCCAAATGTTACATGCAAGATATATATATATATATATATATGTTGGATAGATATTATGATTTTGTTTGATGATGTTAAATCTTTATTACTTTGTTTTGTGGAAAATGAAGCCGAGCATAGTTGAAATAATTTTGATGTTAAAATGGATTTTTTAAAAAAGAATTCAATGTTTTGTAGTCTTAATTGTAATTAAATGTAAAACATCAATTATTAAATGAAGAGTCTCCTTTAATATTAAGAGCCTCTTTTAATTTAATAATAAATGTTTTATAATAGTTTGATACATTAAAAATTGTACAACATTTATTATTGAATAAGAGTGTTCTTAATTTTCATCAACCGTTTCACAATTT